ATGAAGTGGTTGGACCTGTGGTAACCCTGCAAGGGAAGCACAGATGTTAGTGCCAAGCTGGGGGGACACCGGGACACTCCAGAGCTGGGGCACAGCCCTGTAAAATGTTTCCCAGTCACCCAAGTGGTGGCAACTCCCCAGGTCCACCAGCCCAAGTCCTGGCCACCTCTGGAGGAGGAGGAGGAGGCTCAGCAGCCACCCTGCACCCGGGAGACTGCATGTCCCACATCCCACCAAAGGCTCAGGTAATGCCCATTCCTCACCCCTGCTCCGCACCAAAATCCCCAGCACCACCCCACAGGCATCCCAGGGTCTGCCCGCTCGACGCCAGCTCCTGTGCCGCTGGCATTGCTGCCGAGCACGGCAACGCCGTCATGAGAGCCCTGTTAATGTCCCATCCCACAGCAGCCACATGGCACTGAGCAACGGCCCCGCTCCCCTCCTTCATCCCAGCCACTTACTGGGACCATTCCCAACTCTGAACAGGGACGTGCCAGCCCAAAGAGCACACCCCAGCGAGGCCATTGCCAATGGGACCGGCGACCTGTTGTCCCATGCCTTGGCCGTGGGTCCAGCAGAGTTCAACCACATCACACATGTGGAGGTGATGGCAGCTTCTCCATCCACCGTAGGTCCTTTCATGGGGGATTTTCATGGGCTAAATTCAACCCCTTCCCTGAACACACGGGCCCCGCTCCGCACCACCCCAGGGAGGACATGCCATGGAGACCTCGCTTTCCCCTTCCCTTGACCATATCCAAGTTCATCCAAACATTTTCCCAGCCTGCCTCTCCCAGATGCTATTTAACGCCACGCTGCCCGGTACGATGCCTGGGAGGAGACGGGAGCAGAGGGGAACCATCTACTTACTTCTCGGTTAATCCGAATCTTAACGATCCCGTTGGGACACAGGTTTGAGAGAAAAAGATCAGAGACAGAGACATTAGTGAGGCACAGCTCAAGAGACAGCTTAGAGCCCCGGAGTGGGTCACGGAGAGCAGAGGAGGAAGGACATGGGGGGACAGGCATGAGGATACTGCTCAGGTACAGGGAACCCATCACGGTGGCATCAGGCCACCATTGCCAGATGACAGCCTCTGGAAAGGAGGGAAGAGTGGGATTCGCTGCTGCTTCCCAGAGATTCTCAGGTCCTGTGCTCAATGGACCATTCCTGCATCTCCCTTGGTCTCAGCATCACTGGATGCGATGGGGGACATCACTCCTTGGGGACACCAGGGCCGAGCTCAGCCCAGACTCGCATGCACTGACAGGACTGGGGGTATCCCAGTGCAAGCCCGCAGCTGGTCCCTGTGGCCCCCCAACCTTTGCATCCTCCACCCAGGGATGAGGGAGATCCACAGGAGCAGGCAACGGGAGAAGAAAGGATGGAAAAGTGGAGTAGAGAAGCAATGAGAAAGGAGGGACAGAGGAGAGAAGGGAGAGACGCAGCAAGCAGGAATTGCTGATGAACATAAATAAATCAGGCAGGCTCTTCATGGCATGTCTCAGGAATGCACAGATCAGCCCATCTTGGGCCACCTAAGCTCCTCCATACGCTGCTGGGCAGACCCTGCCAGTCCACGGGAAGCTCCTGTTCCAGCCCAGACCCCCCCACGGCGAGAGGCACCGTCCTCACTTACATCGATGTAGTTGGCGTTGATGTAGTCCGAGTTGGGATCGCCCAGCAGCGGGTGCAGCTTCACCCGGTGGCGGTCGTCTGGAAAGCAAGGGAAGAAGGGACCATCAGCACCCGGAGGGACGAGCACGAGGACGGCGTGTCACCCCGCCAGGTCCCACCCTTTGCGATCGTTTTGTACCAGGAATCTGCCAAACGCAGGCAGGTGGGACGTATTCAGGAGCCATTAACAATCCACACAAGGTGGTGGAGGTGACTTTCCAAAGAAGGTGGTTTAGACCAGCAGGGACATGGGGGACCAGCTTTCAGCACGGTATCTCCCTGAGCTCCGCCCACCCTCCAGCACCCTGTCATCTGCCCCGACAGGGCACCAGGATGGGCAGAGCCCGGAGAGGAGAGCGGAGAGTTCTGCCCAACCTTCAGTGTCCACCTGGGACCCCAGACAATCCTGGGGTGGAAGGGATGACACTGCAGAGCAAAGCATGAGGGAGGTGGAGAGCACCAGAGCTCCTGGAGGACCAGGATTGGTGTCTCCAGCCCTGCAGGAACGTCACCGGAGATGCAGCATGGAGCGAGGTGGCCATGCCACGCTGACAGCTGAGGAGCCTCCTCTCTCCAATGGGCTGAAGCCCTTCCCCAATCTTCTGTGCTAAAAACTCATCCTTGAACCCCTTTGTCTCATCCTGCACATCCACGCCAGAAGCTCCTTAGGGCTGGGCTGCAGTTTCTCCTAAGTCCATACAAGAAAACGCACTCCAGGCTATCTGGGGCCTTCCAGCACCACCCAGAAAACCACAGTGATGTTATCACCACCCCAAGATGTCCATCATCAAGAGTTACCCAGCTCCGGCATCTGATGCCCAACAGCAGCTCTCAGGCTGGGAAACCTGCACTGAACGAGGACCTTTCCGCTGCCCTTGACCAACCCAAACCCCACCAGTTTTTTCCTTGCCATGGACCACACACCTACCAAAAAAAGCCCCCAAGAGCCCTTTAGAAGGTTTTTCAAGCTGTTCAGGGTGTCAGAGCCTTTGCTACAGGCACTCACATGTTGAGACATGATCCTGTCTCCCTTTGGTCTTGTCTTTCTTCTTCGAAGCATCCCAGCCTTCAAAGAAACTCTGTAAGGAAGGGATGGCTGTCACGACCCGAGGGCAGGACCGTGGGGCACCCCGGGGTGCGGGGCAGTCACCCCAGCGGTTCCCTCCACCCCAGCAGCCGTGTCCTGCAGCCCCAGCTCCATAGCACGCTCTGCCAGCTACAAGCTTCTGTTGCATCCACAAAATGCCCCATTTTCCAGCAAATTATACACTGCCTGGTTTTTTTCCAGGGTGTCTTTTTTTCTTTCTTCTCTCTAAATGTCCCCAGTCCCTTTCTCTCCCCAGCACAGAATAGGTTTGTGTGTAATAACAGTAACATTCATAGATTGGCGTAAGAGGAGGAAAGTGGAAGGAAATTACATGTTTTCTCCCCTCCCATAATATCTGAGTGCTTTCAAATGACTAGTTCCAAGAACATACAGCAGCTTTTCAAGGAGCACTAATGATTATAGCAAGCCCTGGTTTGTCCAATACATGAAAGGGGGGGGAAAAAAAGCTCCTTGCACTCGAAACAACTAAGCATTAAACAGTAATTTCACTGGGAAATTTCAATCGCCAGACCTGTGGGACACCGAGGAGTCGGGAAATCAACCCCGCTGGGTGCTCTGTGGCAGAGGCGTGTGGAATAACGCGCTCCATTACAAGCGCTACGGCCCGGCGAGGTGGGATGGGCACGATGTGGCCAACGACCCTTGGGAGGGACTTCCCTGCCCTGGGGATCGCCCTCTCCCTGGGGTCGTCACGGTCTGTGGGGGATTTGCTTGACCTTAGGCTATGGCCGTGCTTATCACAGGACAAGTATGCTGGAGAGCAGAACATGACATTGTGGTGCCCAGGAGGACCTGAGCAAGGGAGAAGCATCCCCGGCTCTTGCAGGAGAGACGGGATGACACACTGCAGGCAGGAGAGGTGCGGGTTGGCAGAGCTGCTGTGGATCATCTCAGGGACCTGTTCGAGCTGACAATTAAATCCTGAGCTGGAAAGACCAGAGATTTGATGCTGACCCAGGGACACCCCATGTGCTGACAACGCCTGCCCAGAGAGCTGTGAGCTCCGGCTCCTGCTGTCCACAGCACTGCAGCCCCGGGTCTGCAGCATCTTCTCCTTGCACACACGTCCAACCCATGCCACCTCGTCCATCCCACCTCCCACCCTCCCCAAGACACCAGGACAAGATGCTCTCCCCAACATGACGCTCTCACCTCATACTCCTGCTTGAAGCCGTAGCCTTCTGCTGTCTTCATCTGGTTGATGTGCTGGAGAAGATCTGCCACCCGGACGGCAGGATGGAGCTGCCCGGTGTGATACGGGGACCCTTTGCGGCCGCACTGGCGGCGGGGGGAACCCCCCAGAAGGCTGCTGGACTCGTTGACCACACTGCTGCGCTGGTCGCCTGCGGAAGGGGAGGGAGAACTGGGGACCGTCAGGGAAGCAAAGCCTTGGACCGTGTCCCCACCACCTCCTTCCACCCGTAGAGGAGGGACGGGAGGAGGGAACGTCCCCGGGAGATGCTGGTGCTGCAGCCGGTCTCTCTCCGGGGGCCACAAGCGGTCCAGCCCCTCCCTGTGCTCCCTGCAGCTCTTCCTGCACCACAAAGTCAAAAACGCCCATTACAGCCTTTTAAGACCACAGCAGATCTCTCAGAAGTCAGTGGGCAAGACCTCAAGGGGGTTAATAAGCTTATTTCCGATCAACTGGAGCAATTAACTCCCATGCAGACAAGCAAGAGCTACGTGCCCAAATGTTCACACAAAGTCCCAATTTTAAAAATTGCGTTGCCAAAGTCTCCAGCCCAGCTTAACAGTTAATTTTCCTCGCTGCTAGATATCGACGCCTTACTCCTAGCGCTGACACAAATGGAGCTCGCTGCTGTTTAATGGGGGAGTTTACGCAGTATTTACTTGCTTTATGCCTTTGCCGTGTAATTACCAGCAGAGCCAGACTAAGATCTCGCCTGCATTTATCAGGGCAAGGTCCCACACCAGATCCTGAAACCTGGATTTGCACAAAACCCGCTGCTCTCCGCTGCTGCGCCTTACTCCTAGCGCTGACACAAATGGAGCTCGCTGCTGTTTAATGGGGGAGTTTACGCAGTATTTACTTGCTTTATGCCTTTGCCGTGTAATTACCAGCAGAGCCAGACTAAGATCTCGCCTGCATTTATCAGGGCAAGGTCCCACACCAGATCCTGAAACCTGGATTTGCACAAAACCCGCTGCTCTCCGCTGCTGCCGAGAGACGCGGCAGG